GACTTTCGTGAGCAGGCTTGCTACTGGGATGTTTGAGCGGGCCGACCGCTCCAAATTCCCCCACTTAGCAGGCATTGCTCCCCTCCCCCACCCAGAAACAACACTCGCCATCAGAAGACGACTGAAACGCTCCGCTCGGGAACTTATCTCAACCTCCTTGAGCGGGGCACCAAACTCCGAACAAGAACCACCGGCTACTCGCAGGCGCCTCACTGGACCCCTCTTCGGAGGGAACCCCGGACGAGCTGCCTCGTAACCGGCGGACTCGACCCCAAAGACCGACTCACAGTGGTGAGTCGCGATGAACACCACTATAAGGAGCCCAGCGCTCCCAATAGTTTCCCCACCCCCAACAAGGAGGGGTGAGATGACAACCCGACGACGACGGAAACGTATCCAGTCGTCCGCCAGCGCTCGCCGTTACAACAACGTGTGTGTGCGCGCGCTATTGAAACTCGAAGAGCTCTACTGAACACTCAAAGCAAACATACAAGATGACCGGTCGCGGCAAGGGAGGAAAGGGTCTGGGAAAAGGAGGAGCCAAGCGCCACAGGAAGGTACTTCGCGATAACATCCAAGGTATCACGAAGCCGGCCATCCGTCGTCTCGCGCGCAGAGGCGGTGTCAAACGTATTTCCGGTCTTATCTACGAAGAGACTCGCGGTGTTCTCAAGGTGTTCCTTGAGAACGTTATCCGCGACGCCGTCACTTACACCGAACACGCCAAGAGGAAGACCGTCACCGCCATGGACGTCGTCTACGCTCTGAAACGTCAAGGCCGCACCCTGTACGGTTTCGGTGGTTAAGAGGCTGACCACCACCGCGCCACTACTACCGCTACACATCAACGCGCCGCCGGTTACTACGCCGTAATGTCGAACTAAAATCTCGATATCGTGTTCGATATTATGTTATAAACAAAAGGCCCTTTTCAGGGCCGCATACGATTCTTATGCTCTTATGGTACATGTTTCTTTTGAACAAAGATCCAAGTCAAACACACATCTTACATCTCCTTACGACGACGATGATATATATTCATTACAGCCAGCGCGTCGTGCCGAGCACACCCCGATAGATAGATAGATGGATGGATAGATGATAATAATACACGAACAGTAACGTACCACCTATGTATGTGTATAGGTGGTATAATAAAATATATTTCTTTATAAATGTTTTAAGTACCTGCCTGCCTGACTATGTAGTATTATAATTATTGATGATATTTTTATACAAAAAATATAATAAATAAATGAAAATTAAACAAGTGATGAGTACATACCAGGGGGAGTACATACACGGGTAACTGGTCGAGTGTTATCAACATTTTCTTCTGCACGCACACAACACTTGTGCTTGTAGAACTGTAAAGAAAGAGAAAGAGAAAGATAAATAAAAAGACATGTACAAGAATATTATGTTATTAAAAGTTAGTTGATCAAATAAATATCAATGTTTCGTGATATTACTTTTTGTATTTTTTTTTATCTGTATCATATTAAAAATGATCACATCAAAAAAACAAGTTAGGTAAAAAAAAAAAAAAACAGATTAAAAAATAAATAAAATAAACATAATTGCGTATTAAAAATCTCGTATATTCGAGTATTATAGTTTGATGGACGAAACCACCCAGTAGAGAGAGAGAGTGTACTCCGTCGTCTGTACTAGGTAACTAACTACTCTTCAAGATATATATAGGTAATATTTATGACGGCCGTGTGAGCGTTTATATTAAAATTTACAATCATATATGATGAATAACCTTACATAATGTAGATTATGAATTATTTTGTATTTTTGTTTTACATTAACCTATTATACGGACAAACCTCCCGGTCGGACTCGTCCGTCTGTTAGTGGTAAAGGCGCGAACGTGGTGTGTTTTACGAAGGTTCACTTTTAATCGTTCAATGTGGTCATAAAATGTATTAATATCGAAGATATGTTGACACGTTTCAGGCTCGATATCCTCGTCGTTGTTTTATCGATTGTTTTAACACAAAACGTTATGTTTTATAGAGAAAAATACATTTTGAACTGAACACGAGGTATGCACGGTGGACAGTCGAGAAAATAAAACATCATATCGGCTCAGTCGTACGATCGTTTGACGTAAAATACGTATTGAACGTTAGTCACTTTCATTACGTACATAAAAATATAATTTTGACATCGTTTATCACAAGGGAAGTATTATAAAATGTTATTTAATTAGATACGTGTTAGTGAAAAGTATGAAGCGTTCATACGAGAAATCGTCCCGCGACAGAACGGCTCTCGTTACGGTAAAGTTTCGAGGTACCTTAGCGAACGCCTACCGATGTATAGTGGCGACATCTACGTCGAAGCTAAACGCGCAGTAACCCACGTATACGCGAGTATCTTTCGTTCGTTTAAGAATTTTGATAAGAAGAACAATGGCAGACACAGCGGTGGCAACTGAAGCACCGGCACCCGCCGCGGGAGCGAAGAAGGCTGCGAGACAATCGGGTGGTGGCGGCGGCGCTGCTGCTAAGAAACCCAAAGCGAAACCCACTCATCCCAAGACATCCGAGATGGTGAACAACGCAATAAAGGAGATGAAGGAACGTAGCGGATCATCGCTACAGGCCATCAAAAAATATATCGCCGCTCATTACAAGGTCGACGCGGAGAAGTTGGCTCCGTTCATAAGGAAATATTTGAAGAGCGCCGTAGAATCGGGTGCTCTCATTCAGACCAAGGGCAAGGGCGCTTCCGGATCGTTCAAGCTCGAATCGAAGTCCTCGTCGGCTAAGAAACCGAGCGTCAACGCCGGCGCTGGCAAGTCGGTCGCCGGCGGCAAGAAGGAAGCGTCGAAGGGTGGCGCCAAAAAGGCCACCGTCTCCGCAGCCGGTGCTAAGACCAAGAAGGCCGCCGCCGCCGCCGCGGCTGCCGCTTCCGCTTCGGCCGCATCGGGATCACCGTCTAAGTCGAAGGCATCTTCAGCGCCGAAAGACAAGAAGACGGCCGCCGCCAAAAAGAAGCCCGCCGCCAAGAAGGCCGCCGCGCCGGCCAAAGCGAAGGGCGGCGCAGCCCCCAAGGCCAAGAAGACCGCGAAACCACCCACGAAGAAACCAAAGGCACCTAAACCTAAGAAGGCCGCAGCCACACCCAAGTCGAAGCCCGCCGCGAAGAAAACGGCCGCAGCAAAGAAGTAAATGGCCTGTAGCGCGTCGGTATTGTTGTTGTGTGTTGTCGCCGCAACTTGCTCTAGTACCTAGTAGTAGGTACGCCGCCGCCGTCGCCGCCGTCGATGATGCTGTTGGTGCGGCGTTAAGCTATCGCGCTCACGACGTACACGAGAGCGAATGCGACGACGCACAAGAGAAGATAAATAAAAATAACAAACACAAAACCAAACAGCCCTTTTCAGGGCTAACAATATATTCGTGAACGTGTGTCGTTCGTTCGTTGTGTGTTGTGTGTGCAACAACGACAACGGCGGCACACATTCGTTTCTCGATTACAGAAAGTCAACTCGCTAACAAACCCCCCCCCCATGTACTCGTACATCGCGCCTCACCTATGTATACCACCTATACACCTATACATCTCTCTACACAGCAGATTAACGCATGAACAGTACATAACGATATATATATATATATATATATTGTTATGTACATAATAATAATACAGGATAGGTACAGGTTACAGATGATTCTACAGATGCTTTAATCATTTCTAATAATATTACAATGTACTACTGTACTATTAACTAGTACTACTACAACTACTACTCATCAACCACGCTACTGATACATTATTTTAATAATAACGACGACAACAATACCCAATTCCTTTATATTACACACGTACACATATTAAGTATATAAATAAACACATATACAATATAATTAAAAAACCTATTTAAGTAAAGCAGTTACTGAAAACAACGGTGTCGAGCAGCGCGACACCGCCCGACTGCCCGACTCCCGACTGAAATTCTACTTCACTCTACTAACTAACTAAGTAATCTATCTACTCTCACACAAATATAATATAATTGTTAGATATATTTTCTTAAACTTTCTACAGCTACATCAACATACATAATACATATGTATACATATAGATTAACAACATAATTACAAAACGATCGATACCTTCGATTTATTATCATATGAACATTGTGCGACTGGATCATTTTATATTATGCGAATTATCAAATTTAATACATATATTTATATTGTAAAAAGTGGCGCCAAAATTTAACGCGCGTGCGCGTCGCGCTAGCTATAGTATCGTCCCTCCCTTTCGCACATTGGCTCATTGCTACGGCTCCCTACACTACCGGACGCTTATGCGACCGCGCGAGGGTATAAAATATAAATTCACCGGTGCGGCGTCGTCTCACAGCAGTCTATCGGTATCGTTCGTTGCGCACGCACGCAGCGGCTTCCTCGTTTATCTCTCGCTATATACGACAACACACAACAACAGCAGCAAGATGTCCGGCCGCGGCAAAGGTGGAAAAGTAAAGGGGAAGGCAAAGTCCCGTTCTAACCGTGCTGGTCTACAGTTTCCCGTCGGTCGTATACACAGACTGCTGCGTAACGGCAATTACGCCGAGCGCGTCGGTGCCGGCGCACCGGTGTATCTCGCCGCAGTCATGGAGTACCTGGCCGCCGAAGTCCTCGAGTTGGCCGGCAACGCGGCCAGGGACAACAAGAAGACAAGGATCATACCTCGTCACCTTCAGTTGGCGATCCGCAACGACGAAGAGTTGAACAAACTTCTCTCCGGCGTGACCATCGCTCAGGGAGGTGTTCTACCTAACATTCAGGCCGTCCTACTGCCCAAGAAGACCGAGAAGAAGGCCTAAGCGGTTATAATATGTATATATTATGTGGGTTCGCCTCGGTGAGAGTGTGACCGTTGGTATACCGGTATACCGCTCACAACACACGCTCCTCACGCACACAAAAACATCAGTAAAAAAAGGCCCTTTTCAGGGCCACAATATAGTATCATAGTCATTCATATCTATAACGACTGTTTCTGTCGTAACACGATAAGTCAACAACACACTCTCGAAAGAATATAATAAATAAATGAAAGAAACTCATAATACTAAACAAATTATCTAGATGTAATTAAATAAGGTAATAGTGACACGCAGATACCTATAAAATAAATTCACAATACACATATACAATTTGAAAAAAAAAAAAAAGAAAGAAAGAAAAACCGTACGGTATATACGGTGATGATTATAATGTATTTTATAATTCTCGTAAGTAGGTACCTAGTACCAACGTAATAAAAAACTAATATATATATATATATATAAACAAAGCATATCAGATAGCTCGACCATAACTATATTTGTATTATAATAAAGTAGTGTATTATTAATAATTTTATAGGGTTTTCGTTAAGTACATACATACATAGATAGTAATAAGCGATATCATAATTTCGTTAATAAATAATTATTATTTTCAACAATCATAATGTAGGTGTTATGGGTATGCATATATATATATCTATCTATCTATCTATCTATATTATAATAGGCACGCACGTGTGCGCGTCGCCGCCGCGCCGCGGCTCTGACTGAATATTTTAACGCTCTCCGATTGGTCGACGCGAACCGTGGAGCTCGGTGATCGCGCCGCCGCTGCGTCGTTATCGGGTCCATAAATACGAACGTTCCACAAGATAGCGCGTTACAGGATTCGCTCGGACGTCGGCGAAGCAACATCTCCGCAGCTCCCGAAGACTCACGAAGCCTGACGAAGTTGCCCGAAGCTGTTGCTGCCTGCACGGAACCGTTTTCTTTGCTCCCCGGCCTTGGCCGAGTGTTCGCAGGAGACGTCCGCCCACCGATGCAGTGGCAAACAAACACAACAGTGCTGATATAATTGTGGGTCGACCACAGCCCAGTTTGGTTTTCAGCGGTGAATCTGTTGTGTTTGTTTGCAACCCCGTGTGACCCCTGCGCCGCCCGGCTCCGGCCGAGCGACAACCACCAACCTCCTAGGGCAGGCCGCGCGCTTTTCTGGCGCCAGCTATGCCCAGGAGACGCGCCAATAACCCCAAGGAGGGTGTCGCGGGCTCCCCTCGCGCTCCGCAGGCTCGAGCTGCACCTGCGCTCGCCAGCGTTGAGCATGAGGGTGAGCACCGCGCACCCATGCCCCAACCGGAAGCGCTCGCGCGTCGCCCCCGACAAAGGGCCACTGCGCAACCGCGTGCCGCGAGTCGCGCTACTAGGTCGCCGGAACCGGCGACCTCGAGCGAGGACTCGACGCCGCGCACCCCAGCCTACCCCCGCGGAGCCTCCCCGCGTCACCAACTGTACTCGAACACCTTGCTCCCGATGAAGGCCGAAACGAAACGCGAGATTCAGGAGTGGCTAGCCCGCCAACGACTGCCAGCACCGACGCCTCCGCTGCCCGCTTCCGCGCAGGAAATGGACACGGACGCCCCTCCGCCACCTACCCCCACTCGTCGTCAGCACAGCCCCGAAGAGGAGCAGTGCGACGAAAGAAAGCGCCCCTGCCTCACCACCCGCGAGAGGTCCCCGCTGTACTTACAGCGCGACCCGCGGGTGGTAAGAAGGCAGCAACAGGAAGCAGGGCGACAGGTCGACACCTACGCGCAGGCCGCGAGGTCCCCGCCGCCCGCCGCTGCCCCCACCGTAGACACCGAAATGACCGCTGCCACCACAACCCAGGCGCCTAGACGCCGATACCCGCCGCTAATAGTGGAGCACCTCCCGAACTGGGCTACCCACATGAGGGAACTGAAAAGATGCCTTGGCCGGGCGGCAAACGCCCGCCCCTTTGGTAGGGGGATACGTTTCTCCCCTAAAGATGACCAGGAGTTCCGACTCGTCCAGCGCTACCTCACGGCGCTGGAGAAAAACGAGGGAGTCTCCTGGTTCTCCTACTCCCTCCCGGAGGAGCGGAGCTTAAAGGTGGCCATTCGTGGCCTGCCAAGCAACGCGACGCCGGAAGAGGTGGAGCAGGAGCTCCGAGACCTGGGCTTCGACCCCGAGTATGTGCGTAACATACGGGGTCGTGGCGACCGTCCCGGGTGCATTCTCCTCGCCATCCTAAAGAGGACACCAAATCTGACACCGGGGATATACGACATCGAGGAGATGTTAGGAATCCCCGGTGTGAAAATAGAAGCCTGGCGCGGGAAAAAGAGGCCCGCGCAATGCCACCGCTGCCAGCAGTTCAGGCACTCCAGCCACCACTGCCACCGCAGACAGGCGTGTGTGCGGTGCGGCGGTGAGCACCCCGCTGCGAACTGCCCCAGGCCTCTGCAGGAGCCCGCTACGTGCGCCAACTGCAGAGGAGAGCACCCGGCCAACAATACCCACTGCCCCGTCTTCCAACGCGAACAGCGTAACAGGAAGGCGGGAACGGTCGCCGTCACCGGGGAGTCGCGCCAAAGGCCGACACCGGTGAACCCACAGCCCATCGGGGAGAACGCGCAAGGGGCGTCGCTCATGGCGGCAGCGAACCCCGCACCTCCCCGAGCATCCACCTCTTCCAAGAGAAGGCGTAGGAAGAGGAGCGGCAGAAAGAGAACCACTTCACTCGCTGCAGACACCCAGGCTGACAGCGTCGCGGAAAGACCGTCCGCCAGTCAGCCCGACAACAACATAGCTACTACCATCGTCCCCCGTAAAAGGGAGACAGAGAGGACCAAGCCGACCGCCCGCGCAAGCACCTGCGGACTAGCAAACGCCCAAAGGGCAGAAGAGGATAGCAGCACAAAAGCTGTTATCCTTTTCACACTGGAGCTCCTCCAGGAGTTGTTGGCCGCCATGAGCCAGGAGCAGAGCAGAGACGCCGTCGCTCGCATTGCCACCAAGGGCGTAGCTGCCCTGCTGGCCTGGGGGCCGTAGGCGCCCTGCTCCGCCAACACTTCAGATTTACTATTGCTGCGGTCACCCCGCGGCTCGCGAGCACCTGTGCCTACTTGGCGCAAGTAGGCGCACCGTGTGTGGGCGCCGGTGGCCGCCGCAACCAAAACAAACAGGGCACTCCGCAGACCGCATAGCGGTGCGGACTGCCCCACATACCCCGGAAGAGACACCAGAGGGTTGCAGGTAAGCCGCCGCCTCCGTCGCTGGTCGCCCGGAGCTGGGCCTCCCCAGGTATCGCCTGGGGTCTCACCTGGCTCGGGCTCGACCGCCGAGGCGGCGTGAAGATCAGCAACCCCTCACAAGATCGGCAACCCAAACAACAATACAACATCCCACGACCTACCCCTATTTAGGGGTAGCGGTAGACACCGCTGGCAGGGGGCTATAGCCCCGATCCAGCCACCACGCGTCCCCTACGGGACGGAGTGAAGACCATCAGTAGCGCGTTACACTGCGTTTGAACTCCGCACGGTACGGTCGTTTATCGGTTCACGTTCACTCTAACTACTAACGCCACTTAATAGTCACACGATGCCGCCCAAGACGAGTGGTAAGGCCGCCAAGAAATCGGGCAAGGCCCAAAAGAACATCTCCAAGACCGACAAGAAAAAGAAGAAGCACAAGAGGAAGGAGAGCTACGCCATCTATATCTACAAGGTGCTCAAACAGGTCCACCCGGACACCGGTATCTCCAGTAAGGCAATGTCTATCATGAACTCGTTCGTGAACGACATCTTTGAACGTATCGCCGCCGAAGCGTCCCGTCTCGCCCATTACAACAAGAGGTCCACTATCACATCGAGGGAGGTGCAGACTTCCGTGAGGCTCCTGCTGCCAGGCGAGCTCGCCAAGCACGCCGTCAGCGAGGGCACCAAAGCTGTCACCAAGTACACCAGCTCCAAGTGAGGAGGACACCGCCACCACCGCGCCACCGCCACACCACCACCGCGCAGAGCGTTACTTACACGTGTAATGTGTGTGTGTACGTCTGCGGTTACGAGACTCCTCGAAAGCAAAGCAAAAGGCCCTTTTCAGGGCCACAAATATTTTCATGTTATAAAATGTTTCTATTATAACAAACGACAAAAGTCAACACAACCTGAGACAAAGTACATTATGTTTAAAACTCTAAATCTATGAACGAACAACAATCGCACACTCTAACAATAACAACAACAGTACTTTTAATTAATTAATAAAAAAATAAAAAAAAAAACTTTAATTAAGTACAAATATGGTGTTCACCACACTCGTACTTATATAAATGGTGGTACCTACTTATAAAATCAAACCTATTCGATATATATTTATAAATTAGAGCTTACTAGATACTTTAATATGATTATGTTCTTAAAATAGGTAACTAAATATTAAATTTCTTTGCTATATACCCAACGAACGAAACCGGTGACCGCTAGAATAGATTCGTATATATATATATATATATATATATATATTCGTTATTTGTGCATAACGAATGTGCCTAAAAATATTATATAAATAAATAAATAACTACAAACTACAATACATACAAACAATAATGAATATACAATAATATGTGGTAAGTACATGATTAATTGTAAAATGGATCGGTGGTGCTCGCTGCTCGCTAGACCAACCAACGCGCGAAAGCCGCCT